GCTGGCTGCACTCCAGACGTGTTGACCCAGAGGTGTCAGTTTCTGCTTTCCCAGGGACTCGCGCCCTCCACTCGGCGTGTTTATCTCTCTGCTCAACGTCGCTATATTGACTTTTGCCGCCGGGATGGTCGCCTTAACAGCGATGGCTCCTTCGCTCCTGCCGATGAGGAGACTCTCACGCGCTTTGCTTCACTCTTGGCCGACTCCTTGACCCACGCCTCTATAAAAGTGTACCTGTCAGCAGTACATTCCCTACACATTGACCATGGCTTGTCGGACCCTTTCGTCAACTGCCTTCGCTTGCAGCGTTTGCTCAGGGGAATTAAGCGGGTTCAAGGTCCAGTATCACCCCGGCGCCTGCCTATCACCCTGGATCATCTGCGGGCGATTCAACATCTTCTGGACTTCTCCACGAGAGACCATGTGATGCTGTGGCCGGCATGCTGTTTGGGTTTCTTCGGTTTCTTACGAGCTGGGGAGTTCGCGGTGAATTCCGCTTTTCAGCCTAGTATCCATATGACTGTTGCTGACCTGCAAGCTGATTCCCTGGTGAATCCTACCTGTTTTAACGTTCATATCAAGTGCTCTAAGACTGATCCGTTTCGCATGGGCTGTGATATATATGTGGGGCGTGGTGAGGGCCTGGTTTGTCCCATCCGTGCCTTGGGCAACTTCTTGGCTCTGCGTGGCTCTTCTGAGGGTCCTCTCTTTACTTTTAGTGACGGTCGCCCTCTTACTCGTAAACAGTTGTCATCTACAGTTCAGTCTATCTTGCACTCAGCTGGCTATACTGGCTCCTATTCAGGCCATAGCTTCTGTATTGGGGCAGCAACTACAGCTGCTGCTCGGGGAGTTCCGGATCATCTGATCAAGACCCTAGGCCGGTGGTCTAGTGATGCCTACCAGATTTATATTCGCACTCCAGTTAGCTCCATCGTCCACGTATCCAGACAGCTGGCTGCATAGCAGGTATCTCTACTACCTTTGGGGCTGCCGTGGGGGTGGGTGCCTCAGGGTTGGGCCCTCGGGGCCTGGGGCTCTGCAGCCCCGAGCCCCCTTGCTCCGGGTTTCCTACCCGGAGGTCCCTTCGGCTTAGCGCGGGGGGGCTCGTGGCTGGGTTGCGGGTTGGTAGGCCTGTGGGTGTTCTTCTGCCTTGGGGTGTATTGCGGTTGCAGCCCCCTGGCCCATGGGCACCCAACCTCCACTTGCGACGCAGGCGTTAAATACTATTAAATCATATTTAATGTAGTTAACGACTAGGAGCTATGGTCCCGGGTGTTTTGGGCATTCTTTGGTAGCGCATTGGTCGTCCGTAGCGTTGTGCGTGACTATGTTTACGTTTGTAGCGTTTACCATTGTTCGTGAGCATGGGGGCAGTTTCCTGTCCAGCGGTATGTCGCTTTGGCGCATGCGGAGGCCACGTGCCTACGTTGTGTTTGCGTTGTACTCAAAGCTTTCTTGGCGTGGCGTGGCGTTCCAGTAGCGTAGCGTTTCTCTTGGTTCCCCTCCCTCCCTCCGCTTTCTTTCTTATTTATTTATTTATTTATTTATTCTTTCAGGGGTTGGTTCATTTTACTTCCACTGGGCATCTGGCCTCAGTGTGACGGGTGCTATAGTGGGGGACTGGGCGCGGGGGGGCTCGTGGCTGGGTTGCGGGTTGGTAGGCCTGTGGGTGTTCTTCTGCCTTGGGGTGTATTGCGGTTGCAGTCCCCTGGCCCATAGGCACCCAACCTCCACTTGCGACGCAGGCGTTAATTATAATTATTATTAAATGAGTTTTTATTTTTATTATTATGAAATGAGATTTTTTAATTGAAATGAACAGGAGCTTATGAAATGAAATGACTTGTAAATAGGTTTAATAATTAGTTTTGTTATCAATAAAAGCTTAATGACCTTCCAAAGTCTTCGACCTCTTTTTCTACCAGATTATATGCAGACGATACATCTCTAACAGCTTCTGGAAGTGATCTTGACAGTTTATTGCGTGAAATCAACAATCATTTACCAGCTGTCTACGAATGGTTATGCAGTGATAAATTGACCTTAAATTTGACAAAAACTAAGTTTCTTATCTTTATGCCTCGTCAAAAGGAAAGCTACAATCTTTATCCACCACTAACCGTAGCAAATGTTCATCTAGAGAAGTCCTTTTTTGTAAAATATCTTGGTGTGTATATTGATTGTCACCTTACTTGGCATGACCATATTGATTACATATGTGGCAAAATTAGCCAAAAATATAAATATAATGGTTAAGTTGAAGCATTATGTATCAAAAGCAACACTTATTAGTGTGTATTATTCTCTTATTTATCCTTACCTTACTTATGCTTGTACACTTTGGGGAAATAATTATAACGCTCCATTGTCTCAAATCGTAAAGTTACAAAACAAAGCGGTTCGTGTTATAAATGATGTTCCTTTAATGGAATCAATAACTCCACACTACACATCCTTAGGCCTTCTGAAATTTCCTGATATTGTTAAACTGAACACATGTATGCTTTTTTATGATTATTTCCACCATGAAAAGTTTCCTAATATACCTGTTTCATTAGTATCTGAACTACATAATTACAGTACCCGAAGTGCATCATCCAATCAAGTTGCAATACCTATATTTCGAACTAATCTTAGGAGATTTTGCCCCAGCATTATTGGAAGTTTCTTTTGGAACTATATTCCGTAATACATTAGAGACACCATCTAAAAAAATGTTTAAATCAAAGAAAGACTATCGTCAACTCGTGGGTACGTTGTTTAGAAAATAATCAATTAGTTATCACCTCTGGTTTTCCCACAGTAAATTTTAGGAAATGATAGAAATTCAGATTATAAATATGCTATCCTTGTTCTGGAAACACAATAGAGTACCGAAGTGTGACGTCATAGAAAATGAAATTTGTGAAATTATGGGATTTGTTAAGATATTCTGAAAGAACAACGTCCAAGACACCTACTCGCCAAAAATTAGCAATTTGGGGCAAATTGTCTCTGAGATATTAGCCCAGTTATGCCCCGATGACTCCATACAAATCCTCCTAAATCTTACCTGGTTCCTGATCTTATGAACCAAGCCAAATTTAGAAGGATTCGTATGGAATCGTCACAGCATAACTGGGCTAATATCTCAGAGACAATTTGCCCCGAAGTGCTAATTTTTGGCGAGTAGGCGTCTTGGACATTGTTCTTTCAGAATATCTTAACAAATCCCATAATGTCGCAAATTTCATTTTTATGACGTCATCACTTCGGTACTCTTTTCTTTTCTTGCTGTTTATTGCACTTTATTAACAGTTTTTTAGGTATATATTTCAAAACAACAGAAAAAAAAAACAGCAAAACAAATAAGCAAACAAAACAAAACAAAAAAGAAAAAAAAAAGGAAGAAGGGAAAAAGAAGGTCGTTAGCAGAAATTGAACCCGGTACTTTCGAGTTGAACATAGCCACATAGCCACATAGCCATGGAGGATGATCACGTGTTTTGGTGAAAAGTCTCAAATTTAATGCCTTTTCCATGGAACTTCTGCCGGCAAACGATCGAGCCATACTTAACCAATTGAAAAAACGACTCGAAGCAATCGGATAAAATTAAGGCTAACTGAAACCAGGCTACTGACAGTAAAAAACAATGTAAACACATTTCATGGCAATGAAAGAACATATGCGATACAAAGCCGACACAACTCCTCCGCAAAGTAGGACGCAAAACATAAGCTTATGTTTTCTTATCTCGATTTCCGCTGTTATTTTAAAGCTAATGCTCAAAATTACATCCATTTCCCCCCGTGATCTTGGGGACTCCTTATCAAAAAGAAGAAGAACAAGAACAAGAAGAAGAAGTGCCTTTATTTACCATACATTCATTCATACACATAACCTTCTACATTACTACAAGGTAGGAGATCAAGCCAGCGTCAAAGTTGAAGGAGTCGAAGAGCAAATGCTCATCTTCTCGTCAAGTTTAACGCCTGGACGAGTCAAAGGCTCTTGAATCGTACTAATCTGAAAGATTCCTGCGTGTCTTAAACTTGGTAAGACCTCTATCCTGTAACCGTGCTGTAGCGCACGATGCCAATCTCAGCGAGGAATTTGATGCCACCGAACTTCGGCGAACGCGTGCCTCTTTGGAAACAATAGGTCTTCGCGCTCTCGAGTTCGGACCCGATTAATTACGAAGTGCGTCTACTACGAGTGAGCGAGTGACTCATTTGCATATCCCTGTCCCTGCAATAACTCGTGGTACGCTCGCGCGTACCCACGAGTTAAAAAGCACTTTTACGCTGGTACCTGGCTCAATACTAATGAATCAATATCCCTTTTACAACTTTCTGAGGTATTTTGTCATTTTTCCTTTACTTTTTTATTAATAATCTTAAGTCCTTTGTAATACATAACTTTAAGGGGCACAATATTAGTTTATCTAGATGTGCCCCTCTCCTCTCCTTCCAATATACAATGTAATTCAATTTAAGTGTTGTAATTTCTATTTTACGCGTTTATTTCCTTTGTAAATCTTTATCTGTTACTATATTATTTTTCTCAGTTATATTTACATAACTATGTATCAGCTAGGAATTGGAGGAATAAATAAAAAATAAATAAATAAATAAAATAGTAATGATATATGCATAATTAGAGAGCTAGGAGAGGTCCTTAAGGGAGGGAATTCCTCTAAAAATCCATAGTAATTCAAGTTTCATTGTTTAAAGAAAACTCGCTTTGTTTCATTACATTTCAATAGTACAGCTAGTTCATTATGAACTCATGGAAGTAGCATATTTTTTTCTATACATTTGAAAGTGTTTATTCATATTATGCCTCGTAACTATAGGTTGATGTGTACACACACACACACAGCACAAAAAAACGAAAAACAGTAATGAAGTTTGGTTGCTTATTTCGATAACCTACAACTAAGATAGAATTTCCTGGTTGTGTTTTCGAAGCTTCATGCACAAGGTTTATTAATAATCATTATAACCATACATGTCGAATAAGTATTAAAACTCTCTTTACTCTAGTCGTTGGCTAAAAGTTGGTAAAGGCTTGGGGAACAAGTCGACCTTGTGTATTAGTGTTAGGCCTAGGGGAAAGCCAGAAGGGAGCACTACAACCATCATCATCGTCATCTGATTCATCATTCTCTAATGCGGCCTTAACAGACGTTATGTAAGATACGGCAGGCTAGGTAGTTAGCAGTACTTTTCCTGTACCTTTCCCGAGTACCTTTAACAAACATCTCCACCTGCACTTTCATTTGCCAGATGCTTGTTCTACTGCCACCCTGCTTTTACTCATGGCCTTGTTAAATCTCACTTGATCTCATGTTAGAGTGTCCGATTGCAGGTAGGGGCCAATGAGCCAAGACAAAAAAGGGTAAGCCAAATCGCCAAGTAGAAGGGGTCTTATAGCAATTTATTCAATAGTCTTTTCTGGCTTGGTTAGATTTTGCAATTTGTTGTCTTTCTGTATAATGAGCTTAGTCCCAGTACCCTGGCATCGTGCATACTGCCTGGCCAACCAGCGGTGACGTCAATGAAGATACCCGTTCCACCAAAAGTTACTGGTAGATTTATGTAATAATTTTATTTTCAAATAAAATAATCCTCGTTGCAAGTTTTGGGGCTTTGCCTTTTGACTGTAAGCCGTCTATAGCACCAATACTATCAGATTTTTCTAATGCCCCCATCAAAGGCTCTTCCTCAAACTTGCCTTTTATGCCATACATTGTCAAACTTTGACCTGGATTGAACATTTTTTAACAAATCACACACAGTCTACAGTACTTGGCAGGTGCCAATCTGGGATATGCAGTGTTACTTCTGGCGTCGCCCAAGGATATGTTTGAAGCCCCCTTCTCTTCCCTATCTATCTTCCTCTATCTATGACCTCCCCGACAATATCTCTTTGCAAATTTCCCTTTTTTGCTGATGACTGCAAAATCTATCTTGAACTTTCCTCCGCTACATGTCCTCAACAACTCCAGGCAGATCTAAACTCCCTCTCCTTATGGGCTTCCAAATGGCAAATGCATTTCAATTGTAGCAAATGTTATAGTATGCATATTACCCATAGCACATCTCCAGTCATCACCACATATGTCCTGAATGGCCAGGCCCTGAAGTGGCTGATCCACACCCTTACCTCGGTGTTGTTAACTCATCAGACCCGGTTGTAAGTAAGAGCACTAAGTTTCCTAATTTTACCATTGCAACTTTTATCATCGTACACGAGAGACTAAGGCCAAACTACATCTCACACTTGAACGTCTGACCGTTGAGTATGCTTGCTGTGCTTGGGATCCTTATACTCAGCAGAACATTTCTAGTCTGGAAAAAGTTCAGCAGAAAGCTGCCCGCTTCATCTTTCGTAACTATTCCCGCGAATCAAGCATCTTTTGCATGTTGATTTGCCTGGATTGGCCATTACTCACTGAGCGTCGTGAATGCCAGTGAGTCAACTTCATGTTTAATGCAGCCCAGAATCCTGATGTAGGCTCCCTTTCTCCAAGTTGGCCGCTTGGGAGTATAAGTTAATAAAAGCATCTTGAGATGTTCTTACCAAAAAACAGGGGACTGTAGAAACTGTTTTTCACCCAAATCCTTTATAAATGGTCTTAGACAACCATATTGGTTCATTCTCAAAAAAACAAAATTAAAAATAAATTGACCAACTAAGAATCTTAGATTACAGTAACGCAACAAATTCAAGCCAGACTTGTTTGGTCGTATATGTCCAACAATATTTCTTTGATGTTTGATAATTAGCAAATGGCTGCGCATACTGTGTGTTTCCTGTCATTTCTTTCCATGCAGATAAAAAACAGACAACCCTTAACTTGACAAAGGAGCAGAAGCTTAAGATAGTCGCTGCTCAATGCTCTCAAGCAAGCGAGCTGGTCACCATTGACCTTTCCACAAAAGAAGACCCTGCTGCATGCACCAGTACCAGTTCCAACCTTCCAACAGAGAAGTACAGATGGTCAGCCAATTTATTGTGTGCAGCAGAAAAAGAAGAGCTGCAGGAGGAGATAGAGGCTCTCAAGAAGAAAATTGCTGAGAGAGCTGGTAAGTATTGTTTGAAGAATTGGCATGACAATAATAATAAAACAATGATTATGTTTTCTTAAAATGATTATTACAATTCTTCTTTCTACTCCCTCTAACCAAAACGTTTAACGATTTACTACTCAAAAGCTGAAAAAAAAAACTTTCAACCCCCAGTATGGCAGATACTGCAGCCTAACAGAGGAGATACCTCTGTGTTATGGCAAAGTACCTGGGCAGGCTGCATTGAACAGAAAGGTTGGGATAGCACACATTTATGTTTCAATGCAAAGAATCTTCTAACTTATGTACCCACTCAGCTGATGGATGAGAAATGCATGTTTTGCAAACATCCTCCTTCATTGTTAGTTGCTTCAACTTTGTATGTAATAAAAGTTAATAATACAGTTAATTTGCAGACATGGTCATGAACTAATTAAGCCACTA